CCTGAGGAACCAAGTAATCTGGTTTGGAGACAGATCTCTTTCTTTTTAGTAAGCTGACATTCAGATTTATCAAAACATCCATGGCAACTGGAAGCATTACTAGGTATTATCATTATGCAGGTCAAGAGCTTCTTCACTTCATTAGCTGTCTGAGCTAAAATGCCCCTTTCATGTAATGCCAGAAAGTGACTTTCTGCTTCTGACCTGTTGGCTGTCCCACTGCAACCTTTGTTAATGGCAACTTCTGTGAAAAAAACACTATTTAATGGAATGGATCAGCCGAGCAAGGCAGAAATGTCTGCCTTAATATTTCATTGCAGTGGAATGATGTGCTATTAATAGTACTGATTTTGAGCCAGTTTCATCATTCAGAAAAAAACATGTCATAGACAACCCTGCAGGAACTGTACTATTATAGTCTGGGGGATGGATTATTTAAATGTGCCTCTGTGTGTGTGTGTGTGTGTGAGAGAGAGAGAGAGAGAGAAAGAGCGAGAGAGAGAGAGATGTAATATATAGATATAGATATAAGAGCTCTTTCACATCTAAGAAATCACACCAGAGAATGGTCAGATGGCGATCTCTCCTCTCCCTTGTTCTAGCTTTCTAAAGGCATAACAGCAGGATTCTAATATGATATCCATGGGCATGAATAGGCCTGAAACAACTCCCTTGGTGCTTGCAAAGCTCCTTGTTCTGCCTAACTTTTTAAAAATAAATTCTTTTAATTACAATTTTTTTAAAAAAATCAAAATTACAAAATAAGCCCATTCGTTTAATGTGAGTTTCCATAGCCAATATATTCATTTTAAAGGAACGAATGGTGTATTATTAAAATATTCCGGTGGGGTGAAAAAAAGAAGAGGATTTTAAGGAAATATTATTACCACAGAGTTAAGGTGTGACAAATCTGGGCTCCAGAGATGCCTATCATGGTTGATGGAAAAGTTCTAGATGCCAGCAATTCCCATTTCCCAGAGTGCCCAGGCTGGAAGAGCTGTGCCAAGTTGGAATCATAACAGTCTCTCCACCCAGATCTAATACATGATCTCATCCACAATCGATTATAGATGATCAAAGTCTTATTAATGACCAGCATGGACTTTGGTCACACCTACAACCAAATATGTCCCTCAATGTCCTGAAAGTTTTCTTCCCCTGTGAAATAGGGTTCTTTTCTGATATCTCATTCTCAGGACGTCTTTAACTTTTGTGTTGGTAATGCTTTTAAGTTTACATTTTAGTTGCAGGTTGGTGGTGAACACTGCTAGTTGCCAGAGTGGGGAGGGAGGGTTAGTTTTGTTTTTTTTTTTTAATTACCCTAATAGCACAATACAGTGCAATACCTCTGGTTGCCTCTCGGATTTCTGATTTGAAAAAGTACCATGGAGAGAATCTCTTCCTTGGGATTTAATTATAGAATGAGAAACCTGCCACTGGAAAGATAACAATGAAAGATAACAATGAAAGACAATATATTCACACCTATCCCTTGGTCACCTGATAACTAAGGGAAGAGCAAAAACCTTCTCCAAATCTTTGAAGACGTTTTGAAAATCATTCCTTTTCTATCATATTGAATTAGAACTATTGGAAAAGGAGTGTTGGCTAACCAAAAGGTTGGAAAATTACTGTGGGCAATTTCTAATTTAGTTTGCACCCAACATATGCCCATTCATTCCCTGTATCCAGATCAGAGCAAGCACATACACCACTCAGATTGGCTAGCAAAAATAAAGCTTGGTGTTTATTTATTTAACATCATCAAACATCAAATACTGTTATCTAGCAAAACAGGACAAAAGGCAGCCAAAGCAGGAGGAAAGACTTGACCCACTGGCAAGAGATAAAAGGGCAAAATAATTAATAACAACCATCTACATTATCTATATATCGCCAAAGATGCAGAACTTTCCAGAGCCACCGGAAACAATGCTATATAGGTAATTAGGATGGGCCAAACCAAATGGAATGGCCCTCAGTTATTCTCCCCTTTTTATGTAAATAACAGCAGTTGAACAGAGATGGAAAGCAGGACACCAGGTGATCCCTCCTTTATTCTGCACCATGGGGTGAACCATTTGGCAGATGGGGAGAAGGATTAACCAAATTCTCTTAGTTAAGAAGGAGGCCACAAGAACAGAGAGCTCAAGGGTACCACCTCATCTCTTTTCCTCACCAGAAGATCTCTGAGATATCACCAGTAATTTAGACTTAATTATACTGTATTTTAAAAAGTGGTGTTCTATTCTGTTTATGTAAGCATTCAAAGGCCAACTAGAGAAGTGATAAATCAACTTCCGCAACAGACTCCCCTACAAAGGTATAAGATATAGAACTCCCAGCTAGTATGGCCAACATGGGAACGATTTCAAATAATGCATGTTTCTGAGAGTCCACCACTGTAGCTTTTCTCCAGGCCATAATATAATTCCCCCTCCTACCTCTGTCTCCTACCTCTGCCTCTTGATTTTTGGCTACCATAGACTAACCCAGCTCTCCTCCTGCAATGCCCATCTTTTCTAGTAATCTTCACAACAACCTTGTCCCGTTGACTGGGATGAGAGAAAGTGACTGGTTCAATGAGCTCTCAGCCTAGCTGGGATTTGGTCCTGCTTCTCTCAGCTCCAACATGCCAGCGGTATGACATTCTAACCCATGCTGCTCACTAAAAGGATGGCCTACAGGTCCATCAGTTACAGCCAACCTGACTAATGGTGGTGGATTATGGGATTAATAGTCCAAAACATGTTGCACTCCTTGCTCTAAAACCTCATGCCAATTCTTGTCAGAATTGAAAATAAGTATAGTATTGCGTGTATGCAACACATATAAACACAAAAGGTTAACTTTGTTATAGATAGCAAGAGATAGCAATCACATGTCCTAAAAAGATTCTGTCCTGTGCTTCTTCCTGAGCAACTGATCTCACTTTGTCTGCAAACTGGGAATGGCATTACATGCAGAGATACAACAAGCAGTCTCCTCTAAAAGTGGGTACTTTGATGCATGTCTAGATCAAAAGTGACCAACTCATTCTCCAGACAGATTGGGGACTTGAGGGTAGCATGAGAAATGACACTGGGGCAGAGCCTACCAGTTGTTGGCATTGAAATAGGAATTTACTGAAACTACATTTCATTTCATTTCAGTCTGCCCAACTCCCATAAGACTCTGGGTGGCTTACAGCTAAGAACCAATATGTATATGTATATGTATATGTATATATCTCAAAGCTATAGATCAAAACAAAACAAGCAAAGAAACAAGAAGGAGGGTCCACAAATACCCTTTCCCCAAGGCCTGGGAGAACAACCAGGTTTTCAGTAGCCTCCTGAATGCCATAATCTTTGGGGGGAGATCATTCTTCATGCTCTGAAGAGACCATGGCTATAACTTAGATTCACATTCATATCCCACAGATCAAGCCCTTTCTGAAGATCAGCCAAGTGAAAACATGGCTGTGAGCAGTTAGTTCAGTATTACTACTTAAACCTGACACAGAGATGAGACAGAAGAACTACCTCCAATAGAAAAATACATTTTAGAGATACTTTTTGTGCATTTCTCTGCAAAATAAAAATGCAAATATTTATCCCACTGCATTCAAAGGGACTTACCATACATGGTCCATAGCTAGATGGACAATCTTGGGGTCAAAATATAATTCAAAGTCTGTTGGCAGATGGCCAAAAGAACAGTGATATCACTATTGTGAGTTGGACTGGAATTTTAAACTTTTTTTTTAAGGAGAGGTGTGTGGTATTTATACAAATGATGGATATTTTAAGCTTTGAACAGTGAGAAAGTGAGAAAATTTTAAAAATGCATGACCTAAAGTCACCATTTGCTGCTTCCCAGGTGGGCAACTACAACAGCACATACTCTTACCATGTCCTGTCCACTCCCCATGACCCTCTCCCATTTTTCTTTTTGCCCAGCCAATCAGCCTTTAGCTGGGTTCCAGGAAGGAAAGGAAAGAGAAAAAAAAACATTTTTCACCAGTGGTGTTAAAAGCAGAGGGAAAATGATGATGTGGGACAGGAGTGGCAGGAGGAGGGAGGTGAGACTCCCTGTACAATGCTCCTGAAGTTTTTGTAGTGGATGTATGCAGGCTTCTTTGCATATGCCATGGTTTAGAGTCAGCTGTGGGGGGTAGTCTGATGTAATGTTAAAGGCACAGGGATAGAAATTGGAAAACTGTGAGTTCCAGTCTCGTCTTAGGCACAAAGCCAGCTGGGTGACTTGGGCCAGTCACTTCCTCTCAGCCTTATGAAGAAGGCAAGGGCAAATCACTTCTGAAATCTTGCCAACGAAACTGCAGGGACTACCAGAGGAAGTTGCCAGGACTCAGCACTAACTCAAAGTTTTTCCCCCCTTCTTCTTAAAGCCAGCTATTGGTCTGCTAACACTTAGCTGCCCAGAATCACAATAAGCGGTGCTATAAACCCAAAGATGCCTCAGACACATCATTAATCTTTCTCATAACCCTTCTTCTGCATACTTGGCAAATAATCTGGAATGTCCTGAAGTGGTTTTGCAAGCCCAGAGCCACTTGGTTTCCTAATTTACCATTTGCCATAGCACTTGCATACCTCTGTGTCCCTTTTCCGTAACCTATGCGCCGTTCTGAAGTTCCTACGACACTGAAAAACAGCATATGGGAGGCAAAAGTAAACTTTCTATGATCCAGCACAGTCTCCAGCCCAAGAGACTCTTCAGAGCCTGCTAAACTTAACCCCACCCCTCCGGGCAGTCCTGATTTTTATTTATACGTCTGTGGTCCAACGGAGTTCAGATGGAGTGCTGTGTGCGTGTGCGGAGATGAGCCGAAGTCATGAGCCTGGGCTCTTTGGAGTGGTTTTAATCAGCAACCCGTTAGAGGAGAATGGAAAACGTCTGACGGGGTGAAGAACTGAGTAAGTAAACATGACTTTGAACTCCAAAAGACAGCGGAGGAAAAGAAAAAGAGGAAAGAAACTAGGCTTTTGCACTGTTAAAAACTGCTCAGGGAGGAAAGCCTCTGTATGTTTTCTGGCAGGAAAAAGGCAATTTAAAAGATGAAGGAAATGGTTTTTTTTTTTAAAGAACCCATCAGAAGAGGAATTGGAAAGAGGGGAGGGAGGGAGGGGAAAGAAAGCCCTGCTAGAAAAGCCTTCATATTTTTCAGCTGTGTGGGCAGAGCCCATTGCAATTTTTAACCAATAAATTGAACCTAATTGCTCAGCTGGTCCCTTTCTGGGTATTGTGCAATGGAGTTTTGCTCTGAACAGTCACATTTCTTCTGCTGGCAATACTTGGAAACTTAATGTGTGTTCATTTCCAATCCACAGTGTGTACGTGTTACTTCTTTCGGTCTCTCTCCCGACCAATCCCATTGTTTCTTCCAGGTCAGACACTGTTTGCCTTTCTCCGCTGGGGACTTATCATTTCTTGCCAGCTGATGTCATGGAAGAACTCAGGTCCAGAAGTGATGGAGAGAGGACTTGAGTGGGGAAAGCACACCTTCCTGCCTTTCTTTCATGCTGGTAAAAAGCAGCCAGACTGATTGCCCCTATAATGTGGAAATGGGACAAATCAGAAATCTGAGGTGCCATGGCTTGCCGGCAAATTGTGCCTGGCCGGAGATGGTGTCGTCTTCGCCCGTTCCTGATGGTGCTGGTTCTGGCTGCCTATCTCTTCTACCAGACCCTGATGCCTTTAAGATCCAGGAGACTGGCAATTCCTACAACTGGCAATGGACTTCTGCCCAGCAAAGCAGCTGAGGTGCCGCGTCAGACACACCAAGTCTTTGCAAGGCGAGTCGGTTGCTTCCTTCCTTCTAGTAAACAACAAGGGCAGAAAGAGGTAAGAAAGATCCTACCAGTTTCAAATAAACCCTGGTTCGTAAGCTAGAGTTGCAGTCAAAATTAACTTTTGCTTCCTAAGTCACCCACGTCAGTGAAAGGGACATAATGAAGGGCTTGGATTGAATCCCTTGCTCTAGCTGCACTGCCTAGATGAAGGTGACCCAAAGAGACGCCTGCCTGGAATGAAGCATAAACATCCTGCTGGAATGAAATTATGGAAAAAGAAGAAGCAACGTAGAAGAAGATGGGGAATAGGGAGGAAGAAGGAGTACAGTTTCTTAACTCAACCTTCTCTGTGCAGTCTAGTGTTTATGTTGCTCCAAACTGCATGACAAAGGATCAAAGGTGATACAATTAAAGCCCAGGAAAAAAATTACATTCATCTACTCCCTTACTTTGATTGCAAGATTCAGTAAAGCAGGTGATGATAGAAGGGTTGTAAGAATAAAGAGATAAGGATGAATTGGCAGATAGGTTTGAAAGGAGCAATAGCACCCATCAAACAGACCGTGCAGAATATTATTCTGTTTTCTACCCTAGGGGGTAATAATACTCGTCATCTTTGTCAATAACTTTATGGTATTTCTATACTTTTCAAAGCTGGGCCAGCTCATGAGAACTGAAATGGAATTTCTAGGGAAAGTATTTTCCTTTCAGCCAACAAATACATGGTAACTCATATTAATATCCAGTATGCGTTAATTCAGGAGTAGTGGATTCCTCCAAGGTAAATGTGCTTAGGATTGTTGGCAGATGGTCAAATCCTCACTGTGCTTTGTTGCACCTGCAAGTCTCTGTTTGGATTTGGATGGATAATGTGACTGATTTGATCTATACCAGCATTCCCCAGCCAGGTGCACTCCAAGTATTGGAACACAATTCACAGGATTTTCAACCAGGGATTCCCAACCTATCTGGAAAACACCAGGTTTCAGGCAACTGCTGTTTATTTTTCAAACTAGGATTTTAGCAAATGCCTGAGGCTAATCATTATTGCTACTCTGTATATCTATTACGTATTGTATTACACGGCACAACAATCTTCTCCAACCTGGTGCCCTCCTGTAGTAAATTCCAGCATTGTCATTAGGGCTGATGACATTTACAGTCCCAACACATCTTGAGAGCGCTCAGAGAATTCCATGCTGTAGAAAACGATAAAGAGTCTTGTTTATAATATGTACAGACTGGGTTTTTTTGCTGGTGGCAGTAGACTGGTTGTTGTGTTTTGTTTTGTAGTGCCACTTCAACAATTGACCAACCTCCTTCCTATTTTTGGGGGGGAGATTAATTTAATTACAATTATTCAATGGGAAACTAGTATTCACTAGGGCTATGTAGGGCTCTGGAGTAGAAGGCCAAAATGGGTTTCAAAGCATACAGGGGTACCACTGTAGCATCTATCTATAGCTCCCTTGAGCAGCTGTGCTTTTCCATAACTGCTCCCCACAACTGCCAAATGATCCTGAGAAACAACACATTTGGGCTAAGAAGCTGAAGACAGGCGCTGTGTGCTTGCTCTCTCATGCTCCAAAGCATCGTTTTGCTTTCCACTCACTTCTATCATAATCTGTATTTCCAGGAATATACAGGAAGCTAAATACATGCCACGTGCATTCTTAGAAAACGAAAATGATGGGGGTGGCAACCAGTGTTTTGTTCTGATGTGGCCCACCAACCCAGAAAAACACAAAGCTAAGCTGTTTGGAGGCGAGAGGGAATGGTGAGGACAATCTCACCAATCTGCATTTTGGGAAACAGGTATTTTACAATGGATCACCCCCACTGTGACAACCATTGTAGAAGTGGGTGAGATCTGCAATGGCAGCCATTTTTTGAGAATACCCATCATAACTCCCAGAATTCCAGTTATGCTCCCCAACACCCAAAAGCTGGGCAGTTTTCAGGCATGAAATGCTGTTACACATTAGCTCTAATTTTTTTAGCAAGTTTTGGCCTGACCATTCTGTAATGACATTCAAAACAGGATTGAGACTTGGATAGATGTTTAACCAAAGTCAGATGGCATGGCTTCACTCAAATCCCTGAAGTTAATTAATGTAAGTCCCCATCCCTACATGAGTATATGTAGATATTTGAAGACTTTTAAAGCTATGCATGAGGCACTTTCTGGAAAAACATGCAAAGAAAGAAAGAAAAATAATACTATACAGATTTCAGCACTTGTGTTTTAACTGTGCTTTATTCTGGCTGCATTACAACCAATACCTTTTTTCACATCATTCTGTTTGTTTATATCTCCTTGGCACCAGAAATGATGAAACATTTGCATTGAAATATGTATTTGTTAGTTTTTCATAAAGTGTACCTGTAGTTGTACTAGCTATTTTGGTTGTGGCATCAGCTCTACACAACTGCATCAGAGTTAAATCTCTGGAAAAAGAAATGCTGTTATAAAATGCATGGACAGCTTTTTAAATTAAATGTCCTCCGGGCAAGAGTGTTTTTATTATAAGGAAGCCTGTATCACAGTACAAGTAAAATAACTCCTACCATTCCTGAATATCTGTCTGCTTCCTTCCTCTACAACCCAATCTTATCTTCCTATGAAATGTCCCAGATAATTCAGGTTGCCTTTTACTAGTTTCTTTGGCAACACATCAGACTATGATTTAATTAAATAGTTGTAAACAGGTATGATTAATGTGCATCTGAATTTTTCAGCAATATGTGTAGAATACTACCAGATTTAGTTGCATTGTGTCTTTCCCAGTAATTCCTAGAAACTTTCTTGAGAATGACTTTCATTTAAAAAAAAATATTTCTAAGGTAGGAAACATTCCAAAAAATGGAAAAGTTAATAATTGCTTAGTTTATGTCAGATAAAGCCTCCAGAGACTTTGCTAGAGTTCAACATCTAATTCTTGTATCTACCTTTCTACAATTAAAAACATATTCAACTGTTTTTCTTACCCATGTTTATGTGTTTTAAAAATACAAGGGAATCTAATGTCAGAAGTTTCCCACAGCTTAAAAAAAGATCTGATGAGAAATTGGGATGAATCTGGTCTCCTAGTTTATTCATGATTTTCTGGGCTAGTTGTGGCAGCATCATTAGAGTTAGAGTAGAATGGAGATCTAGATCTCATTTGGAAAGATTCCCAAACCAACAACCCATGCTAAGGAAATGCTGAAGTCTATTCTCACTAACTGCACTCTTCCAAGGCAGCATGTCATCTGCTTGCATGTAGGCTAGGATACTTTCATATAGCATTCATATACATTTTCTATCTGTATTGACTAGCTGACTGGCTGGGAGGCAGATAGCAATGTAGGTGCTGTGCTAAAGCAGCAAACCAGGATTTTTTTTAAGGGTTATGGGGTTATGAAAACAGGAGACTCCAGATGTTCCTTTGTCCAAGAACTTCACAAATACAGAAGAGTTGCTGCTTCTGATGATATTTGACTCAGTACAAATATAGGGGAAAAGCAGATTGGAAACGGTCTATCTATATCCCAATTTCTAAAAAAAAAAAAAAAGAGGTTTAAAGGAATGCTCTAATTACAGGACAATAGCCCTAATACCACATACCAGCTGTTGGAAATTCTGCAGAAGAGATTATAGTGCTGTATGGATGGAGAGATAATTGAACAGGCAGGCTTCAGAATGAGCAACAGAACACAAGATCATATAGCTAATATTAGTGGATAATTGTAGAGAGCCAGTGAGATGCCTTAAAGCAAATATACAGAAACCGTTGTGTAAACGAAAAAGACAGAAGCATTCCTTAAGTCCTGGGAAGATAGATAGCATAAAAAGGGGCTCAGGCTGATTCCTCCCTGACTCCCTGGGTATAAGAGACATGGGAGGAACAGGACAATCAGACTTGCAAAAGATTCTGTTATTGTAGCCTATCTCAGTAAAGTATACTTTTATAAATTACTCCACAGCTTTTGATAATATAGTAATTCAAGACTTTGAAGTTTCTCAGAGCAATAGGTATACCAAAGCATCCAATTCTTCTGATAAGAAATCTCTACAACAACCAGGAAGCAACAATGAAAACAGAATTTGGTAATGCTGAATGATGGAAAAACAGTCGCACAGGACTGCGTTCTATCATCATACTTGTTCAACGGAATACATTATAAGGGCTGCATGTCTAGAAGAACTTAAGGTGGGGTCAAAATCAGAAGGAATAACTTGAGATATGCAGACCACACTATCTTGATTGCAGAAACTGAAGAAGACCTAATAATGATCATTCTAAAACAGGAGTGAAAAGTTGAGCTCTCTTTGAACATCAAGAAAACAAAGATTATGCTGCAAAAGTAGAAGAATTTAAGGTAAACAATGAGACAATAGATGTGGTTGACAGTTACAAATTTTAGGTTCCAAAATTGATAAAATGGTGGCTGTGTCAAAGAGATTTAGAGTAAAATAACAATGGTCAAAAAGGCATTGAGGGACCATAACATTTCTATCACAACAAAAATTAGAATGGTCCACTCAGTGGTCTTCCCTGTTATGATGTATGGATGTGAGGGATGAACTCTGGGCCGGAAAGAGAGGAAAAAGTTTGACTACTTTGAATTGTCATGTTGGGGGCAGCCAAGAGGACCAACTGTAAAGTATTAGAAGAAGAAATCAAGTCTGAATGTTCAGTGGAAGCAAGTATCCCAAAACAACAACTACTATACTTTGGACGCATCAGGAGGGCTGAAGCATTTATGGAAAACATGATAACACTGGGCAAGGTAGATGGAAAGAGAAGAAAGAGCTGACAGTGCATGAAGTGGATAGCTGGAATAGTAGAAGCTACGGAGATGCACCAGGAGGTCTTGGCGATGTGGTAGATGGCAGTATCACTTGAACAGTTTTTATCCAGGAAGTCACCAGGACTCAGCTATGACCCAATGAAGCAATATAACAAAAGCTTGATGAACAGGGACTAGAAGAATCTTGCCTTTGGTGTTCCAACATTTTAAAGTGCAGAATGTAATAATCTCATATGTGTAACTCAGTACCAATCCATA